AGAGAACTGTCTGAATAATCAGCCATGGAATATGGGGCAGGGGAGACACTAACACATTCTATGAAACTGGCATTTTCTGAGAAGCTGAGCTGGGCAGGGGAGATTGGGAGGATGCCACCTGGATGCTGAAGTCGTCTCATCCCTAGCATGTTCCTCCTTATTCTGAAGCCCCCGGCTTCCTCTATTGCCACCCCTGCCTTCAGCCCTGAGCCTGCGTGCTGCTCTGACTTCCCCAGCACAGGACTTGGCACTGAGAGGTGGCGCTGACTGTTACAGGCATGAGTCAACTGGAGCTCAACACTCCCCATCCCAGCTCCTCATTCGGAATATCCAATCTGCCTCGCCATACCCAGAATTTAAATTTCTTTCCACAAAGTGAAAGCACACTCAGAGGCAATCTTCACCCACAGCAGAAGGCACCCACCTCTTTGTGGGCCTCCCCTCTGCCTCCTGGACACACCGGGTGGGGGTGGGGGTACAGAGGCCACACTTAGGGGTTCTGCACCAAGGCCCAAGGCTTGGAGGCCTCCTTCTCCCCAGCCCTCCACTTCCAGGCTCTGCCCCTAGAGGCACTTAGTCACTTACATCAATTCCCTATTACTTTAGCCAACAGCCAGGAGATCAATTAGCTTTGAGTAGCCTCTTAGCTGATAGCAGTCTGGGGAGAGGGGTGGAGTCAGAAATGGCTGGGGCTGGGGGAGAAGGGGAGGAGGTGAGAGAGGAAACTAAGTTACCCAAAGGCTCTTTGTGTATATCTGTGCATGAGAGAGAGGGCAAAGGAGCAATCTGAGACTCCAACTCAGACCCCATCCCTTGTGTTCCTGCTCCAGCCTCCTCTCTCCACCTTCCTATGTTCAGTTCAGGCACTCCCTAGGGAGGGAAGGAGAGAGGGGAAGGATAGGGCAAGAGGGGTGTCCGTGCACCCCTGGGGCTAGAGGGCCCCTTCTCCAAGGTGAACCTCTCCACTTCAGCCTCTTCTATCCCTCTGCAATCTGTCCGTGTTCCCCCTCCCACACTTACCCCTGAAGACCACAAGGCCCCTGTGTGGGGCTACCCATCACCCTGCTTTCTCCCTGCACAGGGGCTGGACAGCCTTTTCCCTCAGCGGCCCTCCCTAGCTGGAGGAAACGGACCCAGGTTGTGAGGTCAGGCCTTCCCAAGGGACTCCCATGCTAGTCCTGGCCCTCCCTGGGCTCTGCTTGCCTTGACATGATCTCTCTCTGTCCTGCCTCTGGGTCCCAGGATTGCCCACCACACCCACCTGTCATGTTAGCCCCTCACTTCCCTGGGTGCTCCAGGAGATTCCCGGTCCCCTCAGAACCTTGGGGGGATTTCTGTGCCCACTCCCTTCACCCCACCTCTCCTCTGGGGATTCTTGTTTCCAGGATCCTGGGGGAGGCTCCTGTGGGGACCCTGGGATTCCTGTCTCCCAACCCCACCCTCCTGAGAGAGATGATTATCTGCTCCACACACCATTGTCTGCCCTCCTCTTTCTCCTCTCCTAGGGTCCAGAAGCGAATTCCTGCTTTTCTCTCCGCTAGGCAAAGGGTCTGGGTCTCAGCTGGAGTAGGGGTGGCACAGGGCAGACTGGGCAGCCATCTGCTGCCCCCCCTTGCTGCTGCTCAGCATTCCAGCCACATCAGCCGCTCCCACTGCCAGGGACAGACAAGGTGCAGCTGGAGGCTGGCACCAGCTGCGACTGTGCTCACTCCGGGCCCCCACCCAGACACCAGCAGACAGCTGCACCCCCACCCCCCTCCATGGAACCCCTGCCCTGCCTTGGCCTGGCTGGCCTCAAGGTGGGGTAGGAGAGAGAAGCCTCAGTCCCTGTTGTCCTGGCAACCAGGCACCCCACAGGGAAGGCAAGGAGGTGGCCTGGGAAGAGGGGGCCTTGTGGTTGGGCCTTTGGTTGCTCTTTTGGTAGCCCAGGAGGGAGCCACTGAGGCCCACCCAACCGGATTACTGCGAGGCTACTCCTCCCATTGCACTTCTGCCTCTTCTGTCCCAAAGGATTTCCAAACCAGTCTTTCCCAGATTCAGGTCAGGTTCCCTATATTCTCCCCCACTCTCCTGAGCTGACTCAGCCACATCTGGAGGATGGACCCCAGCCAGACACTCTGTGACCACCCATCCATCCTCTGAGGTTGAACAGGATTCAGAAGCATATCTGGGGAAGTGGCTGTTACTGCAGATCATTGTCACAGGACCTGGGGTCTTTGAGGGACCAGAGTAGCCTCCTTCCTACACCCTCCCATAACCGCCCTCGAGGGACAGGGCTCTTATTGTTTCGATAAGGGTTGTCCTTAGAAATCCACAGAAGAGTCCACATTTGCCCCCACACTATCTTTTGCAGGCACCTTGAGCAAGGGCCTGGACAGCAAGGGCAGTGAGGGGAGTAGCCCCCCAGCAATCCTGCTGGGCAGGCCTCCGTAGCTCCTTCCTGAGCTGCCAAAAAAGCAACTAAAAGCCCAGCCTCTCCCTTGGCCAATTGCTTTCCTCAGCTAAAAATCTCCTCTTGAGGCTGCAAAAGATGTCAAGACAGTCCCCCCAAGCCCTGACCCTATAGACAGATGTTTTCTTTCAGTGCAGCATGTGCCCAGGGGCTGATGCACTCTCCCAACACACCCTGGGCCTAGCAGAGAATGGCAAGGATGTTAATTGTGAGATCGAGGAGAGAGGAGAGAGGTGGAGCAGAGGCAAGGAGCCTGTGAGCCCCAGGGACTGGGGAGCTGGGGAGGATGCCTGCCCGGCCCTTCTCCACCAGGGAGGTGTCAGGCACACACACAGCCAGACTCCCATCCATGCAGGAACATCCGCATGGGCAGAAGTGGTGAAGTTCTTGACATGGAAAGGGGCTGGCAGTGAGGTCAACTAGGGAGGGCAGAGCCAGATTTCAGGGTTGGTCTTTGCCACAGGCTGAGAAATAGCAAAAACCTAGCCTTTCCTGACAGTCCAGAATCAAGAAGTGCCACAGTTGGGCCTGCAGGGTGCTGGCCTGTATGTCTCTCCCCCTATCGAAAAGGACTCAGATTGCTCAGAACTTTGTGAACCAATCATACCTCCACCTGACTACTTAGAATGTCCCCAGACTGCATGGACCAATTGCACTTCAGTACTTCCATCACTATGAGCCAAACACGTCTCAGCATCACCACTTGGAATCTTTCTGGACATGGTGGACAAATGTAGCCTCAACTGAACATTTTCTATGGCCTGATTGTACCCCAGCTTTATACCTTAGTACGTTCCCGAGTTGAGCCAAGCACTTCTCTCCCTCATCTAACACAACAAACCATCCTAGCTAATAGGTTTTCTCTGTTCTTTCTGATGGTCTCTTCTGTTTACATGTTGCATGTGTTGGAAAGGGGGAGGGCTCTGGCTTTCCCTTCCACCTTCACCTACAGTTCCATTATTCTTGGAAACACAGTTTGTGAGCTTGGGAACCCTTTGGTCTCAAGCTCTGGGGAAACCAGAGCTCTCCTACTGTAAAGGAGGAAAGGAGGGAAGGAAATGGTTCTCGAATCCAGGCTAAGCTCCCCATCAGCTTGACTCAGCAAGGAATGTGGCCATGTGACTTCTGTCCAGCAGAATTGACAAAGGTCCATGAGATGGGTCTGCAGAGCAGGGTATAGTGAAATTGGGAAGTCTTTGTAACCTCAGCAGGAAACACTAAGCATGACCATGACTCCAACCTTTCTACACAGACAAATGCAGTTCATGCTCCTGTAATACTAGGAGAAAGCAAGCAGGTGGGGGAGAAGAAGGGCAGGAAAAAAAGAGGTCTGAGAGTGGAGAATTCGGAGTAGGCCTGGAGAGCGAAGCATCCTAGAAGAGACTGGATTTTGAAGGAGCGATGGCCAGAACTGAAAGTGGACATGATAGCTCAGGGTCAGCTCTATTAATGAAGAGAGGCTTTGCACTGAGGCTTAACAAGACATGAATTCAAATTCCAAATCTGTCACCAACCAACTGTGTGAGCTTGGGCAAATCATTCTATTCTGTGTGTCTCAGTTCATGCATGTGTAAAACAGAGATAATATGATTATTTGTCAAGGGGATTGAGGAAAGCCCAGAAAGCATTTTGAAGAGTTAGAAACATTGTCCTCTCCTTTGATATTATTCAGACATAGCTCCAGGTCTTTTGGTCTCTTTTCAGACTCTGTCCAGGTCTTATCCCTCAGGAATCTCTGCGACTTTCCCAGGATCACCTAGCACATCAGATGCCAAAGTCAGTTCCCCTACATCCTCGCCAAGGTGCCGGCCTGAGACAGCCATACCTGTGGGTTATGGGGTGTTTGTGAGGCTTCTCCTTTTTAACAAGCAAAGGGAGCCTCCAGTTCAGCCATGATTGTATATTGTGATCGTCTCTCCTTCCTCAGACCCTGGCTCTGCGGCTCTTGCTGGCAAGGAGGGAACCTACGCAGACGGCGTGCATGTGTGTGGTGTGTGCAGGGTGCGGCTGGCATGGACAGAACAGCCTGTCTGGCTATTTAAGAGGAAGCTTCCCTTTCCATGCCTCGTGGTGTTTCTGAATCTTTAATGTGTATCTGCAGATCTTATTAGAATGTAGATTCTGATTCAGTAGGTCTGGGAAGTGGGGTGGCAAAGTCCAGCATTTCTTTCAAGCCCCCCAGTAATGGTCCCTATACTCACTTCAAGTAACAAGGCTGTAGCTCACCCACCACAGCCAGCTCTGACACCTGTGGCCCGGAAAGTAAGACTGGTGGGTTGGCGGCTATGCCAGGCCATGTGTGCATACGTCCATGTGTGTGTTGTGCACCATAGGCTCTCTTTCCTGCCATCATGGATGGCTCAGGCCCTCAGACAGTGCAAATGTGCCCCTGTGCTGAACAAAGTCCCTTCCTACCAGAAGCAAACCCTAGGACATACAACTTCCTCTTCCGAAGTAGCAAGCACTGTGAAAGGCCTGTCCTGTTCCTTGTTACCTATTCCTCTGGGGGTCCGGCTGACTCATGTACCACACCAGGGGACTCACTCACCACCTTGAAGTCTTCTGCGCTGCAGACCTCCCCCCGAAAGTGGCAGGAAAGCAGCATGTCTCGAATGTCGTGTCCCGCTCTGTCGTAGAACTCTCGCATGTTGAAGGGTTTGGGCTTGAAGCTGCGGAAGTTGGCCTTGTCCTGCAATATCTCCAGCTGTTTTTCGTCTGCCATCTGTGTGTCTGGTATCTCATACCTGGAGCCCGGGAGTGAGCAGCACATGGATCAGTACGACCTCTGGTGTCTCACACCCAACGTAGGGGAAGGGGAGCAGCATCTACCCTTGGGGATCAGACTAGACATGGACAAGGAAGAAGAGCTGGGCATGTCCAGAGGACTTGCCACACAGGGTCTGAGACAACAGAAGGATCTGTAGTGGCTGCCCAGGAGCTCGGGATCTCAGCACATGGCGGGGAGGAAGCATGGATAAGGGTGGGGTGGGCAGAGAGACAAGGCAGGAGCAATGGCTTTTATACTATAGTCTGTATCTGTCCCCATCCCCCAAGTGAGGAGGTCAAGACGTAGTGGCCAGAGGGAGGGCAGAGCTCACTCCAGACAGGGTGGCAATGTCTCACAGCTCAGGCTGTAGGGGTAGAGCCGTGTTGGACTGTGCTGGGATCAGAGATTGAGTGCCCTTAATTGGGTGCTCAGCAGTACTTCAACTGATTTGCTGTGAGTGGCAGGTTTGGGGGTGGCTAGAGGGCAGGATTAGCTAGGCTCTATGGTAGGTTAAGGAAGCAAACACGCTGATTGGAACTCGTGCAACTCTAGGAGTGGGGCTGAGTGTGTGTGTGGGGAGCCACCCACCTGTTGTTGAGCAGGGCCAGCAGTTCCCCTGCATGATACAGGTCATTTTTGGAGACTTGGCTAAAGCGGAACTCGTTGAGGTTGCACAGCGTGACGGCAGGGAAGGTGAGCTGGGAGGCAGCCACCTCGTCGAGCTTGGTGACGTGGTGGTAGCGGAAGTAGTACTGCACACGCTCCGTGCACACGCACAGCAGCACAGCCAGCGAGCCCAGGAAGCACAGGGCCCACAGTGCCCGCTTTAGAGACAGCCGCTCGTAGGAGAAGATGTGGGCCAGGCCGTGCAGCGTGGAGCTGCTGGCGAAGGCCTGGATGCTCACCGGCTGGACGCCACCCACCTCCTCCTCCTCGGCCTTCAGTTCCATCCTTGTCAAGGGAATCCTGGGGGTGGGGGTGGGAGGACAGTTTGTCATTGTCCTGGAATGAGAGTACACATGGGGCCCCTCCAAATGTGTCCATCCGGAATCCCCATCACCAGAGGTCACCACTCCTGGGGCAGAAGACTTCCCTGGTGTGCAAACCCAGAGGTGGCTGACCAAAGGACAGGGTTTCTCCAAATACAGAAGCCTGTGGGGTCAGCTCAGGCCAAGAGAATGTTCTTCCAGAGAAGCTTCCCAGGTCAGGGAGACCCTAGATATAGTCATCTGAGGGTGAAAGGGAAGTCCTGATGCTTTCACAGGCAAGCATGAGAGTTCCCTCCAGATGTGGGGTCACTCTGGGACAGGAATGTCCACCCCTTCCTGGAGATGAAAACTCCCTGAGACGGGCTGAACCCTGGGTCAGGAGCTCCTCTCCGGTCAAGGGTATCCCCAGGGCTGGGCTCTCACCCCATGAGTTAAACCTGGGCCAGAAAACCCCCAGGGAGGTAGGTACATCTGAGCAGGGGCCCAGCCTCAGTCCTCACCAGCGGTTGTCTCCAGTTCTTATACAGGCGCAAGCTGTGTGTGTGTGTATGTTGGGAGTGGGGGTTAAGGGGTGGCGGGCTGCCCGAGGTGGATGTATGGGGGGGGCGCGGTTCCGTATGACAGCGAGCTGTCCCCGCCCCGGACGCACCCCCCACCCCTCCAGTCCAGCTTCTGGTCGCAGTCAGATTCCCCGCTCGCCCCCGCCCCCCTCCCCAGCCACCGAGCCGCCCCAGCAGCAGCTGGGGAAATCCAGAGGGGAGGAGAGTCCTGGCTGCGGGGCGCTGGGGAGCCCCGCGGCCAAAGGCGGGGGCCTCGGAAACCTACCTGAGGGGGCTTCGGAAAGCCGGCAGCCAGCGGCGGGTCCTGGGGCGCGGGACCGGTGGCGGCTTCAGCGCCGAGCCGCGGAGGGGCTCATGGCCCGAAGCCGGAGCCGGCTGCAGCCGCGGCACGCCGCGCAGAGCCCTGCAGGGAGCGGCCCGCCCGGCCGGCTCGGCTTGGATCTGCTCGCCCGCCCGCGCGCGCTAGCTCGCTCGCTCGCCTGCCCGCCTCGGCTCGGTCCGCCCGGCCTCGGCGCGGTGCGCGGTGCTCTCAGCCCCGGGATCTGCAGGGATCCATCGTCCGGCCGGGAGGCGGCGGGAGGGGAGGAGGAGGGGGAGGGGAGAGGGTGCGCGTGCGCGCCTACGAGTGTCTGCGAGGGTGTCTCTGGGCGGGTGTGCGCGCGGGGCCCCCGGACCGGGGAGCGGGACCGAGGGCTCCCCCACTGGCTCGCCCCCTTCTCACGGCCGCTCTCAGCGGCCCTGCCTCTCTTCGTCCCGGTCCGGGTCCCGGTCCCGGAGCCAGCCGTCTCCCTGCCCGTGAGGCCCTATGTATGGCTTGTGTGTGTGACCGTGTGTGTGGGGTGTGTGTGCGCGCGAGTGTGTGCGCGCAGGAGGGAGGGTGTCTGCCCCTAGCGTCCCCCTCCCCGCGCTGTCTCCTTCGGATCGATGCTCCTGCCTCTTGCTGCTGCTTCCTCTGGTGGCACACACGCTCGTGTACACACACACACACACACACACACAAGCTCCGAGTCACACTTGAGTGATTCAAGCACTTGGCCCATATGGAGACATAGACACACATACAGCCCAGAGTCACACCACACCACTTACAGCCACACACACACCCCACAGACGCCCACACATCCCAGAGGCCTGACCCACATGGCAAGCACTCACCTGTTCTTATCCCTGCTCCCCACCTACATGTGACACGTACACACATGCACACATGTGAACAAACACATGGCCTTGGCCACTCAGACCCCATCCTTCTAGCCTTGAGCTTGACCAAGTGGAGGAATGGGAAGGCTGGTGGCATATTGCAGCCCCTCACTGCCAAATCACTAAAGAAGGAGCAGAGAGAAGGAAGGAGAAATAGCCAGAGGTCAAGGGAATTTGGACAGAGGTAAGAAAAGGAGTGAGGGGACAGGATTAGGAGGGGCTGGAAGGGGGAGCTATGCTCAGGGATGGAGCAGGAGTCTGGGCGCTGAAACCAGGCCGAGGAGCTGCTTCTGTAGCTGTCACCTTTCTCCTTCCCTTCCTCCCTCCTCCTTTCTGAGAGGCGGGGGTTGGGGGCTCCCTATCCAGTTAACAGAGAAGGAGCAATCAAGGGGAAGTTGTTAATTTGCTGATGCTCATTAGGGGCTCTTAGCACTGAGACTGTTGAGGTCTGATGGTGTCAGATGATGAGGAGGAGGGTGCAGTGCGGGGGACCAGAATTCTATCTCTAGTGGCTCCTTCATTCCACTTGCAGGCTGGTGCAGCTTTGGGGGAAGGAAGGTGAGAAGCATGTTCCCAGGACATGGTGCCTGGCTTTAAGTTGGAAAAGAATCTGCCATGAGAAGGGGATAGCACAGTGGAAAGAAGTTGATGAGAAGTGAAGGCTTGAGGGTAGGGGGCACATGGGAAACCAGCGAAGGGATCTGGAGATCCCTAGATGGAGTGTGGACTAAGACTGGAGGAGGGAGGTTATGATCCATCTAACCCCAGCTCAGGGCTGGGGCACTGAGCTGTCAAAAGGAAGAAGGGAGGATCTTCCATTCAGGTCTTGGGTTGGGGAGCTGTCCAGCAGCACCAGGAAGTGCCGGAGGGTTGCCATGTCCCTGGGCAGCCACTGGGTGGCAGCCCTCTCCCAGATACTTAGAATCAACTCAAGGGGGCATTTGGGAGTGGGAATTCTCCAGGGAGGGTCCCAAACAGAAACCTTAGGAAGCACTGGGCAGAGTCTGATTTCTGATTCCCAACAAATGTTCTCAGGGGGAGGGGAAGACCATCTTGGAGCATCTGTAATTCCCCCACCTCCCCACCCTCACAGGCTGAGTGACACATGGAGCCTCTTCAAATGGCTGCAAATTGCTTCAGTCACCTGGGATGTTACTGAGGGAGCAGCGGGGGTGGAGGAAAGGTGATGAGGTGAGGTGGAGGCAGTTAAGGACTGATCGAGGCCAATGAACAGCTTCATGAAGAGTCTGGGGGAAGATAGGAGGTGTGAAACCTGTGATCTCAGCGCCCAGACCTGGCCTAGCCATTCATCAGCACAGTCAGATCCCTTGACCGCTCTGAATCTCAGTTTCCTCATTTGTAAGATGGAGATAATATTTTTTCTCAGGATTTTTTGAGGACTACATGAGCTAATGCATGGAAAGTGCTTAATACATTGGCTTGTACTTAGTAAATCCTTAATAAGTAAATAACTGTTATTATTAGCATTAGTATTTGGATCCAGTGGTAAAACCGCCAGTGCAGCTAAATCAGGGCAGAATCTAAGTCAGAGGTTCTCAGACCCAGGCTGTGCATTTGAAACCTAGGGAACTTTTGAAAATGCTGATGCAATTACCCCACCATAGATCAATTAAAGCAGAATCTTTAGGGGTGGTGCCCAGATCTCTCAACTTTTTAAGACCTTCTAATATGCAGCCAATTTTGAGCAACCTTGCTCTTCAGAATCTATGGGTCTATATCAAGGCTTCCATAGTATATCACAGTCCCCAGTCTTAGGAAGTTCTTTCTTATGCACAGCCTAAATCCCTCATGCTGCTGTTTCTTCTTCATTAGAGAAGAAATGGGTCCCTAAATCCACATATATCCCTCCATCTCTCCCCTGTTCATTGCAGCAAACCTCCACTGAGGTTTTTCCTGTGTCAAGTCCCAAGATTGGCCCTGTGGACAAAGTGAGGAGTGGCGTAGTCCCTGCCCTCAAATATCCCACTGTGAAAAGAGAGGCGAACATGTTGACCAGTGACTCTCATGCAAAGACCAGGACTGAAATACAGGGATGGGCCAGGGCTGCCAGACTAGAGTGGCAGGGGCAGTCATTCTGACAGGGGTTTGTGAGGCAGAGATGAGGAAAAGAGGAAATCGGTGTTGTGGGCCTCTCTAAGATAATGCTTGAGGGATGGATCCAAGGGCTATAATTAGTTTCCCACTGCTTCTTTCTGCTTCTCTGACCCACCCACCTCTGGTCCAAGCCCTGACTTATCCTTGCTCCTTTAGCATCTTCCCAGCTTCGTGTCTGTGTCTGCACTTCATTATCTCTGGCCCCTGCAGTCCCTAGACTTTAGGACACTTCCCCACCCACCTGCCCCAGAGCTAAGAGGAAAGTAGGCTTGGAAATATTCCTCCCTCCACTGGTGAGAGGCATCTAGCCAGGACCCACACAGCGCTTTGGGATCCTGCTGACCTGAAATCTCAGCTCTGTCACACCAGTGCTGGGTGGTCCTAGGCAAGTAACTTACTTAGCCTGTGTCTCACTTTTCTCCACAAACCATAAAACCCAGCTAATGCCCATGCTGATGAAACAATGTGTGTCTAGCAAACAGTGGGTGTTCCATCAATAGTGGCAAGCATGACAATCGTCCCTGAAAAGCTGATGAGAGCAAATTCCCCATGGACGCTTCCCTTGCAGATGGCCCCATCTGCTCTAGGTGCAGAAGCACCCTCCAGCCTCTCAGAGACGGGTGGGAGGAGGGTAAAGGGGGCACAAGGCCCCCTGGGACTTCCAGGCAGCTCTTCTCCGCTCCCTTGCGTGAAATCACACGCACCCCAATCTGGCTGCATCCACTTCATCTGCTAGCTCAGCAAATGCAGAGACAATTAAGGAGTTAATTAGCAGGCAATTGGGAAGGGGCTGGAGGACCCAGCAAAACACTGCTCCCCCACCCCCTTCATGCTCCATGTTGTCCCCACCTGTGACCCTCATCTTCTCCCCATTTTCTCTCTTTTGTGATCCAAATGCTCCTCTTACCCCTTCCTCCCTGCTATTTCTCTGCTACCCTCATCCTTTCCCCCTACCCTGTGCTGTCCTTTCTCCTTTCTTCTTCCCCATTCCTCTCTCCAATCTCCACTCTCCTCCTCCACTCAGCTTGCCCCTCTAACCACTGAACTCATTGTTTCTTCCAGCCTCCTCTGGTCCTCACCCTCTCCCGGAACCTCTCACCCCTGGCTCTCCTGGCATCTCAGGCTTTCTTTCTTTGCTAGGGCATCTCTGGGGTCTCTCCCCCCATACTACTGCCTCTGTCCAGGTCTCAGCAGTTTGTACATGCAGGACTGTGCTGGACCCTACTTTTTCTTCTCCTATTCCTCTACCCTTGGGAGGGGGGCAGATGGCCACCTTCCTTCTATCACACATTCCGATTTGTGCGTGAACATGTCATTTGGGCAGTCACGATTTCAGAAGGGAGGGATCACTAAAGAGACCATATGTATAAGAGAGAGAGAGAGAGAAGAGAGGTGGAGAAATCAGGGCCAAGGCAGAGATTAAAAGGGTAGATGGATGCACAATATGGCCCAAGAGGGAGGACATGGGGATAGAGAGGAGAGAGAAGGAGCAGGTAAGGAGAGACAGAGAAACAGAGATGTCCTCAAGACCAGGAAGAGACTGCTAAGGTCCTTCCCTGCTTTAAAATTTTGGGCCTTTGAGAAGAATGAATGAAGGAGAGAAACAAAAGGCCCACAGAGTGCCTGGGGCTTTTCCTATCCCAGAAAACCTTAGTCTCCCGACCCTAGTACTCCCTCCATCACTGACCCTATGCCACTTGCCCTGGTTTCTATTGTGGGAGCTCTGGATGCCCTGGGAGCAGGTCTGTCTTCTGTCCTCCTCTTGCACCCCCTCGAGGTGGGGTGCTCCCCTGGAGTGAGCAGCCACTGTCTTGACTCCCAGAGGAGAGGAGGAGGAAGGATTGTGGACAAGGCAGGCCTGGGGAGTGAGCGGACTGTGCTCAGGTCCAAACACAGAGCCTGGCATTCAGTAGGTGCATTGTATTCAGGGCACCCTCAGGCAGGGACTAGCTTTCCAGTTGTAGGATGCCAGGGTGACCTGGCCTGAGTGTGGCAATTGCAGCTGCTCAATAGTATTTAATGAGTTGCATAAATGATGAGAACCCCTGGGGGCTCTCCTGGGTCTGGGGGTCCCCCTGGCCTGGGGACACCTTCTCCCCTGCATCAGTTGGCCCTGCGGGGCGCTTGTCTTTGAGCTGTCGTCAGCTAAGCCACAGTCCTCCCCTCACCCCTGCATCCCCAACAGGAGGGTCCCTCTACAGCTTGCTACCATTCCCCACGGACACCCCCCTCCCACCCTACCCAGGCCTCTCTGGAAGGCGCAATCTCTGCGCCCAGGGCGGCGCCGAACCGGAGGCGGCAGTGCCGGTGAATAATTCATGGGGCTGGGAGGCCCTTATCTCCCTGGCCGGCCCCACCCGGGGCCCCTGCGCTGGGCCGCCGTCCCGCGGCTCCTCGCTTTATCTCGACGCCCAGCTTGTAATGCAGCCCGCCATATCACAGGCAGAAGGGGAGATTAATTTTCTGGTTTTGCATGGGCGGGGAGGGGGAGGGGGCGTGGGGAGGTGCTGGGGAGCAGAAGCTGGGATCTTTCCGATTTCAGACTCCAGCGGCTTAATCCTCTCCCAGGCCTGCAGGAAGGGGAGGATGAGGGTGTTGCAAGCCAAATTTCATCATCAGCGGCAGCCCCAACAGCGGGAGGAGGAGGCGAGGGGCAAACAGACGGGAGAGGCAGCGCGCTGGCGCAGAAAGGGGAGTTGTTTGGAAACAAGGTAAAAGGCGGCCCTCTCAGCCTCTGCTCCCAGACGGCTCAGCTCGGCAGGAGCTGGAACTCCAGGCCGTGTGGGGCGTGCACACGGGCACAATACAGTGCACACACAAGAGCTCCAGGCACATGGGCATACCTCTTTGGGAACTGACACCAGCCTTGTGTGTGCTGTACCTCACACAGTGCCTGGCACAGAATAGACTTAAAAAATGTTGACTGAGTGACAGGCTAAATGTCTGGGGGAATGTTGATGAGTTGAGTAGACACAGCTCCACATGCTCCTGGAATCTGGCTCTGCCATCTCCTTGCCATCTGCCTGGTGGGCCTAGGCATGTGCAGACTGCTGGCTTCC